GCATATACTTTCAGTTTCACTTTCATGACCCTATCTGCTCTTAGTTTACAAAAGCCAAGCCATCCAGAAAACCACTCTTCATTCCTTCGGAATTAGGTGCAGCTTTACCTCATTGCGGAATGGTCAACGGTACGTATTCATAGAGCATGCAAGCCAACTGGGGTTGGTTGGTTTTTGACCCAACAAGCCGTTGCTGCCTGGATGTTGTTGACCCCACAACGAGAATGCCTACACTTTCTCGAATGTTATCTCTCTCAAAATATGTACTAAAGACGTGAGATAAACTAGGGGCGTATTATCAAGGCCAATTTCGGGTCAGCCGATGAATTGCGCCCGTTTAAACTAACAAGTATTGACAAAAATCGGCTCCGCACAAAAGTCGGGTCGGCAACGCAACAGATAATTATCTACGAGACGCACCTTCCTGCATTATCTTTCTAGCCCGTCGGACTTTCGGACTGTGCCCGAGAAACTGGGAACCATGACCGAGAAAGCAGATTATTGCACCGATCCGTGCGTGGTGGCTGGCGAAGTTGGAAAGAACGACTGGGAAAAAGGTACTTTAAGCAGAGAAGAGTGAATATACACCATACCATACCTAGCTCTGAATTCTCCCATCTTATTGGCAGAAGGTCTCCTAACAGCTGGGTCCGGGTCGAGGCCGCGAAAATTCCATCCCCATGACTCTGGAAAGACCCCTCCTTCCCATAACACTGGGCACGTTGGTCTGGGTTTCGAAATTCCAACAGCATGGTAAGGTTTGACCACCTGACACGTTTTTAGTCCCCGAGGATTCATTCCCATTCGCTCCTATTACGAGACCATTTTGCTAATTGTTGGTGGTGAGACTCGTTGACCAATGCTCGTGAGACTGGATTTCCACCACGAGCTGGCCGTGTTGGTGGCTGAGGCAACCAACATTGGAACAACACCACGGGATCAACATAAGCATTGGAAGCAATAAACAGGAATGGCTGTTGAATGAAGGGGATTGCAACTTCCATCTATGGATATGAAGACTTACAGTATGACTCAAACAGTTATTGTTTCTTCTCCCCTCCTACGCGCACGAAAAAGGGGTAGCAACATATCACAGGATTGCACTTGCATCGCAGAAGACTAAATAATCAAAAAGCGGCGGCTTCTCAGCCCGTTTGAAACACTCCCATCATTGACAATACGTACAACATTACCTACAACATTAACGCTGAATCGCTCAACGAGGAGGGTATTGCCGGGACTTCCACGAATGGCAAGAACCAAACGCAGAGGCCTTCGCGAAATCCCAGTAAGATGAATGCCACTAACAAAGTACATTTCGGCGTCGATACGCCCCCCAACCAACGATATTAGAAGCAGAGCTCCCATGGGTCACCGACAAGATCTAGAGATCCACCCCACCCAATCTCATTTACCAAATGATGGCAAACAATGGTAGCAGGTCTCCAACACCGTTCCTTGTAATGCCATGTGCTACTTAAACATTAAAAAATGCGGGGATATAGCACGCACTCGCGTATGCAACCCATTTTGAGGGATCACCTCCGGGTTGGATAACCTCGTTGGAGGCGCCCTGACTGCTTGCCCGTTGAGATTTCCCAAATGAAATGCTCGCGTAACTTCTAAATATACTCACAGAATCAAGAGCCAGCGCCACTGGGGTTGACTTGGAAGTACTTGCTTGCTGACTGCAGCGTTTTTACGGGGATGAAATGTGACGAGAATGAAGACTCTGCATTCTTGTAACGGAATGTTGACGTCTACTGACACGGGCAATATAAGGTAGGTCTCTTGGCTGATGGGATGAATAGACTATGTCCATTAATAGACCAGAAACACCGACTCACGCCCATAGACGCCGGTACCCACAGCGGTGTATCATCTCAAGGCAGTCCTTGCCGGATCTGGATGGGTTGGCACCCGAGAGTTGGCGCTTCAATGGATAAACTTGAGGCGACATCCAACTGCATGAGCGCCTATAGATGCATCTCCATAGCCCTATCAGCCTCATGACGTCTGGGTTACATCAATATCTTTTGACAGATTGCCTCCGCAGATGTCATGGCGATCGAGCCCAGCCCTAAGCCACTAGAATGACGAGATAATCTCCGAATATGCGAGGCAACAGATAAACTCACTCCAGCGAGACGCTTTGTAGGGCATCTGTGCATGAATTCTGAGCCGCGACGCAGGTACAGAAGCTAAATAAGCTTGTTCGAGGTAGAACGGCCGTTTGGTCGCATGGAACGCGGGCCGGGCGTTGGAGACTGCCTTCATGGTGTAGTGGGAAGCATTTGGATGGAGAGAGTGTATCTAAATCGGGATGTTGCTGTTGACAGGTCGTGAGCGTTTACAGAAAAGGGGGAGCTTCGAAGGCGCTTAGACGGCGGCTAAGGAGCAGGTTGATGATTGGAAATCGAGAGGTCTTTCTGTTTATGATGCCTGTTTGTGCATTCTTCATCTGGTAAACCCCAATAGATATTGATACTGTAAAGAATCTCACAACCAAAGTCTATTCCTACTGAAAGCTCATCGCTGAATGACTGGCAGTCGTTCGGAACTCTTGATACACGTGACGGGTGTGACGGTTTGAGCCAACTCAACTTCCGCGAGTCGGAAATAGACAAATGTCCGCGTTAATGGACGGCGAAGCCGGGCGATTGTGACAACACTAACGTGAAACCTTTTGCATGTATGTACCGCAAAGGCACCAATCCTACCCACCGTACTCCGGCAATGCCATGTAATAATGCGAAAGAAGTATAGTTTTGGGCGGCTAAAGCACAGGCTCACAAGACCACGAGAAAAAGCAAGCCACTCCACAGACTTATGCAGGCAACCCCACGAAATGCTAAACTTATTGGCCGACCTTCCAATTTGTCGCACACCCTTTATCAGAGGATCAACAGACGTTTAGTCTGGGTGCGATGTGTATGCGGTGGAGAGGCACAGAGTTACCAACTGAATTCTGAGTATCACTGTCGCGGCCACCCTCCTGAAGGGCTCGGGACACCATCGAGAGGTAGTAGGCTGGCTGGGCGCGGGCCACTATCCAGACCGCGCTTAATCGAGTAAGAGTCGAGTCGCAACTTGCAATTGGAGGCTGGATTCCGAGGGCTTTTGAACTTCCAAACTTTCTCCGAGAACTTGATGCAGGCTGACCAGATATTTGACCATCCTTGAACAGGTGAGGAGCCCCAGCGGCTCGTATCAACGACCTGTCGATCACGGCGACGCTATGGTATTTGCCGGCAGTATTACGATAGTTCTTACTCCGTACAGGAACCTCCACAGTAGTAGTCCACATGAAAAATGCCAGTTGGTGTACTCGTAGTTTGCTTGTGTACAGATGCGAACCTTATTTGCCACGAGTCGATTCGATGACCTACAGCACTCCCAAATCCGAGGGGTTACATAGGTAGTCGTAGCCTGGCTACTGGCGAATAGCAGGATTCGCTTGTTATAATTCGTCTTCGGCCCCTCCCCTCCTTCCCTGCCGCTGCAGTGCTGCAGTGCTGCTGCGCTTCAAGCAAGAAGTCTCAGACGCCGCTCGGCAAAGGAAAGGATTATTGACGCTGCAAGCGGATCGTCGATGCTGTGCCTCAAGAGTACTCGTGCCTCGACCTGCTCATGATAGTTATTGTACCGCTGGTGGCGCCCTATGGACTTGGTCGCCTCTCAACCCGGCAATGCAGCTATCGATACTTGCTGGAATCGAATTCATAGAGCATTTCATATAATTCTTTAGTGGACGTTGTGTAATCCCCAAAATCTATTTATTGTCGGCAATCCTTGCACAGATCCCCTCGGAATAATGTTTCATCCCACATCATCTTGGGACTTCGACACGGATCGCTCACCAAATCGTCTTATTTATGCGCCGTGAACACAAACTTGACAAGGATCGAAGCAGTTTACGAAGTCCTGTAACTCCAAACAGCGCCGCGCGCCGCATTTCTAATCGGCGAACAAACTTGCCTCTTGTGATATCTAGCCCTACCTGGTGACTAAATTCTCTGTGGAAAGGTCTCAGCCTGGTCAAGACGCCCGAGTCTCCACTTATTGGCGGATGTAGTCGTGGTCGTGGAGGTTGGGACACAGCCTCTGAGAGTCGCGTCCTCTGCGCCAATGTCAGCTTCTGGGCTCTCTGTGTCGACACAAACGAGGTACAGAGCGACGAAATGATCTGTGTGAAGATTAATACAGCAGGAACGGGCTTGTGCACTGTTTTCTAAAGGTTGGCAGCCTTGCCTAATCGAGATAACCGCCGAAGCTGCGGCAACCAATGGGGCGGCTCAGCAGGGATGCTGAAGCTCTCGCGGGTAGTACGCCAGAGTGTGATGCAGTTCAAAGCAGCAGCCAACCGCTCAGCTCGAGTCGTTGATGTTGTTGAGGGTCGAGCGGACGCGCAGGAGGGGTGGACAGAACCTGGTAATGAGTACGCAGCAACATAGGTGTGCTCTGTACGAAGTTCTGCACGGAACTTCGAACATGTCATGTCGTCGTCGAGCTTCGAGTGATTTGCCGGCGCCAGGCTGGGATGCTTCCCATATTTCCGAGAAGCTTACTACGGAGGACTGCTGTAGAGCGCGACCCAAAAATGATATGCACCTCATCTCACTCTGCCCCCGGTCATCACAGTTGATCCCCATCCCCGCCCCCTCCTTGCCCTTCGAATGTGAAATGTATGTACGAGGTAAGCCGTAATTTAAGTTACCATGTGCGGTGGCTGTTGGAACATGCCATGGCACGCTTGGACCGTGGGCGCTTCAGGACTGATGCTATACGTACCTAGGTAGATTACCTGTAGGCAGTCCGAAGTTTACTGGCTGACTTTAGCAAGTAAGTGCTGCCGGACTCGGACTGTGACTGTAATGCGACTGGACGGCGATTAAATAAGGCATGTTTAGTCTGACGCAGTGAGCGGAGGGGAGGGGGGAGGGCGAGGAGGCCAGAAGCTGAACCATCCCATCCCAAGCCTCTAGGGCTCTCTTTTAGCGATGTGTGGTCCCGCAATAGGCGCGCGATATGGGTTCCGCTTTAAAAGCCACAGGCCCCATGACGATTTCAGGACAGGCCCAGCGTCAATATATTGGCAGCGGGCAGCCCAACGGCTGAAATATTCTCTGCGTCGTCCGCTACCAAACCGCTGGGTCTCCAAGGTCGTCAAGTTTCGCCATTATTCTATTTTGACCCGTACCTGTCTCCTCCCAGCAGCCATCTCCATACAACTGCGGTAATAGCAGACTCGCAAGGAATTCGACCCAATTTATTTGTCTGCAGTGCAGAGAGTGTCAGCGCAACCCAGGCAACCCAGGCAAGGCAAGGCAAGGCAAAGCAGGCCGGCCGGCCGAACAAGCAAACAGGCCGTGTCATAAAACAGCGTCGCCGAGGAAGGATTCTTGGTTTGAATCGGTTTCACTTCCCTCTCTTCTAAATTTATCGCGGCTGAGCCACGTGAATTGAGCGAGCGAGTGAGTAAACGAACAATTGAACTGGACTGGAAACTGCAAGAAGCAAGCCAGAGAACTTCCGATTACTTTGCGCGCATACGGGGAAAAAATAAAGGCTTTGGAAGAATTTGAGGAACTGGACGCTGCATTCCCTTGAAGAAGTCATTGTTACCCAACGCAGGCTTATCTAGATTCGCTTCAACCGCCAGCTCGCGCCAATCGACTCCAATCGACCGTGAAGAGGAAGGAAGAAAACTAGGAACCGTAGACGTGAGCAGTTGCTCATTTGGAAGGGGATTGGCAAAGCAGAGTCAAGATTTCGATTGTCCCTAGATCGTCGCGGCAATCTAGACGCAGGAAGGGAAGGAAGGAAGCGAGAAGAGTACCAGAGCGCCACCCAAGCTTTCGGATCAGTGGAAGCAGAAATAATTTGTGCTTCAAAACTACACACCTCAGTTTAGGCGTTCTATTTATTTGTTCGGTCGGAACCGAAATCTACTGACATCATATACGCCCATCTCACCAGCCCTTCAGCTAGCAAACTGGCTCAAGTACGAGCTCCCGTTCAGTTGGGTATTACGCTTCTGCATCCAGGGGGCAGTTCACCTTCGCTGAAGTTCCCTAACAGGACGGCGCCAGTACAGAGCCCAATAAAACGGCAGGACCTTGTTAGTCTAGCTAGGGAGATTTTGGGGGGAGTTGTTGAGACGGAAAAGGAACCAGAAGACCTTATTGACCTGAAGATGGCTTCCGAAGAAGACAGTATTGTTGTACAGACGGAATCACCAACGTCACGATTTACCGCTGTAAATGGAGCTGAGCCGGTGGCAGGTTCAACGAACGGAATGAACGGGAATGGGAACGGGAATGGAATTGGGAATGGAACTGGAAACGAGTCTTCGAGAAGAGGGTCCGACGAGAGGCCTAATGGGCAACCAAGAATTACGCCTCCAGGACAAGAAAAGTTGACAATCACAACGAACACCCAAAGAGAGGATTGGATATCTCCAGCTAGCGGGGAACGAAATTCCGGCAATTCCTACCCAAGTGGCACTTCTTATACAGACGCAGAATTATCACACAAACGCAAGAGGTCAGGCTCCTTGGATCCGAATTCGTCTTCAGCTAATTCGTATCATACCCACAACCTGCCATCATCAGCAAAGGAAACACCTACTACTGCAAGTACCGAGCCAGATGGACCTCGAGAGGAGAGCCTTCGCCCTCCACCTCAGTCAGACTCTCGAGATCCTTATGGATCAGATGCCCAATATAGGCATGCTTTTGGCGAAGATCATCGCAGTCATGACCATGATGACCCCTGGCCCTCCCGTCAATACTCTCAACAGGGGCAAATCACCTCAGATGAGCACCTTTCAGAAGTTCTCCAGCGAGCCTCTCAAGGCCTAGATCCGCAACACCGTGACTATGATCGGATGAGTCCTGGTGATGATGATAGATCCAATATTTATGGTGGGTATGGTCACGACAGAAGGGAGATGTCAGTACAATCGGATCCGAAGAAAAGGAAGAGAAATTTCAGCAACCGAACCAAAACTGGTTGCATGACTTGCAGGAGACGCAAGAAGAAATGCGACGAGACCAAACCAGAGTGTAAGTTATTAAACCATTCTTCTAATTACGAGTTTTAGGACTTATGCTCACATGTGAGGTAGGCAATAATTGTCTTCGTGGCGGGTTTGTCTGTTCGGGGTATCAACAACGAGGACACTGGCCAAAAACCGAACAAAAACATCAACCTATTCCTCTCCAATCTAAAACGGATTATGAAAATGCATACGGCCAATCATCCCCCTATCCTTCGCACCACCTAGGACATTCACGAAGAGAACCGTTGCCCGGTTACCGTGGTCAAGGCCTTCGAGTCGACCCTCAACATGGCCGACCCATCGGTCTGGACGATGATCAACCCAGCGCGTCAACAATCCCCAGTGCTTCTGTAACAAGTCCCGAAAATAGTAGACTGTCAGCCATCTCTTATTCTCAGCAAACGCCAACTCCTATAACAGCCACTAGTAGTGCGTATCCTGATCGAGGACTGAAAACACCATTTGAACGCCTAGGCCCTCTTCACGACCTCAGCCGACAAGATTCCGACTCTGGAACACCACAATCCGCTTCCTCCAATTTACCGCAGCTCCTCCATCCCCAAATGCATTCTTCAGCAGAGAGCCCACACAGCAACCCGCAAGTCGCCGCGCAACTGGCCTTATCGAACCTTGCCTCGACAAGAAGAGAGCGGACGCAGAAAGAAGAGATGCTTTCTGGGCGTCACTACTTCCCATTCGACAAGGAGCTCGTTCTCGAACGCGAGCGTTGCAACGGTGCCTGCTGGCGCTTTAACAGCAGCACAAATCCCAATAATGGCGTCTCTCCAGAGGAACGTGCTCGTCTCTTCAGGGATATACTTCAACCTCGCGAGCATGTCATTTCGCCGACCCAAGCCTCATCCGTGAACCCCATTGGCCGAGTCGGCGACAACGTTGTTGTCGAGGCACCTTTCAACTGCGATTACGGCTACAATATCTCCATTGGTCAAGATGTTGCCATCGGCAAGAACTGCACTATTCTCGACACATGCGAAGTCAAGATTGGAGACCGCTGCAACATCGGACCGAACGTCAATGTCTACACGGCGACACTGCCCATTGATCCTAAGCGGAGACTGGGATCCCGGGGCCCGAGTCTGGGCAGGAAAATAAATATTGATGCGGACTGCTGGATTGGTGGTGGTGTGACTATCCTGCCTGGTCTCACGATTGGCAAGGGCAGCACAGTGGGAGCAGGCTCGATTGTCACGAGGGTATGCTACTATTTATATCTGCATGTAGATTTGGAAATGTACTAACGCACTCAATAGGACGTCCCGCCATACACCGTCGTCTGTGGCAATCCAGCCCGTGTCATGAGAGGTATTCACGAATGATAGATTTCACCTTGTCGAAAGTTTGAATCGAACCACCACACCACTCATGGGATCTAGGTCGTGACGTTCCCTCGTCATCGAAACGAATCTCATTATATACCCCGTTCTTCTTCATTCCCGCCACCCACCCCAGCCATATTTTCCAAAGCTCTTTTTTCGGGTCGGATATCTGTTTAATTGCCTGCGTTCTCTTTATTTATTTTTCTTCCTCTCTTGTATCTAGCAGCATTCGTAAACGTATATGACCATGGCATGGATGGCAGGGAAAGCCTTCGTTTAGATGGATGATTTGATGATAGGATGGAACGGGACGGGATGGGATGGAGCTCTGGTAGCCGTGTATGGATGGGAGGGAAGTAAAGAGGGACTTTTGTAATTATATACATATATATATATGTGTGGGTGGGAGTGATGGAGAGGGTTAAAATACCTGGAGTTGGATTCCAATTGAATTGATGCTTTCATATGCATGACTTTCCTACTCATACCACTTCCCGCCGCCTTCCCAAAACCTGTTTACGAAATTACTCAAAACGGTGGAAGTATACCATTATCACAAAAGCCGTAAGATGGATCTATTGCTTGTGAGCAGAAGGTGGTATGTATTGATGGTATGGAGCATTCGTTGATTTCCTTTCAATGCCTCAACCGGTACTCCTTGCTCCTTTGGAAATCTGAGATTCATTCATAATCATAATTATCTCCTCTGCTTCTTCGTACTCTGTTCACTCGTCGCACTAAGCACAGACGCACTCCGTTTGTGCCCCTGACTGCCACCCCTCACACTCCGCGCTACACTGCCACCCCTAACACTCCTCGCAACACTCTTCTCCTTCTCCGTCTTATTATTACCCTCCACCTCATCCCCCTCAACAGCCTCCCCGCGCTCCAGTCTCGCCGCCTTCTCCCTCTCCTCCTTCTGCTGCCTCGCAAGCTTGATCTCGCCATCCAGCTTATCCGCGAGTTTCCGCGCATCGAGCAGGGTATTGATGCTCTGCAGCAAACTCTCATACGCTTCCCCTACCTCGACGGTAGGCATGATGAGGCGATTTGGGATCTCGAGTTCCACGAGGACGTTGGCGATTTTCGTTTGCTGCACTGAGGATTTGCTGATGAGCGGCTTGCTGATCTTCTCGTGGCGGAAGGCTGCGCCACTGGCGCCAATACGCTCATGATGGCTTACTCCATAAATCTTCTCTTCTTCTTCCGTGAGTTGGCGTCGCTCGCTGGGACCTGGGGGGGGGCCTTTTTTGTTGTTGTTGGAGCCGCTGGGCCCAGAGATGGATTCGCGGACGCTGCTGTCGCGGCGTTCGAAACTGGCTTGTTGGCTTGGGCCGGCGGCGGGGCTTATGCCTTCGCTGCCCATGAGGGATTTGCGCTTTTTGGAAGCTTGCATGAGTTGTTGGAGGAGTTGTTGCAGGCCTTGGCTTGAGCTGTAGATGCCGATGTTGCCTGTACTTGGAGGGGCCTCTAGACGTGCATATAGTTCTCGTCTTTCTTCGTTCAGCTTGTCTGATCTCGCCAAGATACGCTTCAATTCTAGCAGTAGACTTTCTTCTTCTCGTGCCTCTTCCTTTGTCCGCTGGAAAGCAGCTTCGGCGAACTTCTTGCGAGCTGTCTCGATTGCTGGGTTGAAGTTCGACATAACTTCATGCAGGTTGAATTCCGCGCTGTTCATCTTGATCGGTGGTTTCCTCTCCGCCATCATCGTTGCCGCAACCGAGTAATATCGTGCTTTTAAATCCTCCACGGTCCTAATTTTCGGCGGAAGCACAAGACCAAGAAGTGAATCTGCAGAATCTGGAGCTGGTAACGGAGGTTCATATCGATCCCATATAACCGGCCATCTAAGATCATACTCATATGCTAGGCCCACCAAATGATCTGTTTCCAGCTTCGTCCAATCCTGATTCTGTAACTTCGCATTGTATTCTTCCTCTGTGTATTCCGGAACGTTGACCCGTACATTGTACTTAGCAAACGTTGAATCCTCAACCATCTCCTCAGCTATCGGGGCCACTGCTTCCTCCATCTCCACATTCCCATCCTCCCCCACAGGCGGCGCAGGCGGCTTTTCCTCCTTCCTCCTCCAATGTCTCAGCACCAGCGGATCCCCATCTCTCGCCGAGTTCTTGAAGGGTTTCTGTTCCCACTTCGCGACCGGTTTCCTACTGCCATATCGTTTTTTTTTAAACGCTGATACCTCGGGCACAATCGCGATCGGGTTGTCTCCACTCAGGTTTTGTATTTCGCGCGCGAGACCTTTGAGAACTGGGCGCGGTGCTGTTAATTTCTGTTTCTTAGCTGGGCGCGTGGATCCAGAGTCTGGCAGATCTAGCATGTCGCGCACATCATTAGAAGACATTATGTACTATTCCCAGCGTAGAATATGTGTTAAACGGAAATGCGGAATTGATGGCTTTTGCGGTGTTGGAGGCTGTCGTGATGAATGATGAATGGAAGCCTCGTTGGTTGACGCGCTGAAGTCAAATCGGCACGTGCTTTGTCTAATCAATCAAAAATTAAGGCTTGATTCCAGCCGAACGTGGCAGCAATTGATCGCGCGAACTATCAGCAGCAAACCCCCTTTCCACGCCCATCCTCACACAACCATCTCCACGTCCCGGATACAAGTCAATCATGCGGTCCATACTTCCTCTTATAACCCTGAGCGCGCTGCTCGCCCCAGTACAATCTCTGTTCTTCTATATTGACGGCACAACACCGAAATGTTTCTTCGAGGAGCTGCCCAAGGATACCCTCGTCGTAGGCCACTACAGCGCAGAGGAATACGATGAGAACATGAAGGCGTGGGTTAAGCATGATGGGCTCAGCATCGCCATTTCCGTCGATGTAAATACCCCCGAACTATTCTCCCTATTTATTGCCCCCCTTTTCCCTGCGTAGAGAATGTACTAACAGGCCTCGCCAAACCAGGAAGTCTTCGACAACGACCACCGCGTAATCAACCAAAAAGGCTCCTCATCCGGCCGCTTCACCTTCACAGCCGCCGATTCGGGTGACCACAAGATCTGCTTCACGCCCTCGTCGACGTCCGGTGGACAGGGCTGGCTGTCGGCGCTGCACCCCATGGGCGGCATCAAGTTGACCCTGGATCTGGCGATTGGGGAGACGAGTGCGATCGAGAGCACGGATAAGGGAAAGATCCAGGATATTGTGCAGAAGGTTAAGGATTTGAATGGGCGCTTGGCTGATATTAGACGCGAGCAGGTGTTCCAACGTGTAAGTTGTTTATTCTACTTCTACGAGATAGGGCTATGAAGCTGGAACGTGAATATGAGTGATGACTGACTTTTTGCATAGGAACGAGAGGCTGAATTCAGAGATCAATCTGAGTCGACGAATGCAAGGGTTGTTAGATGGACGCTGGTTCAGCTGGTAGTGCTGGGAATTACCTGCGCGTGGCAGCTCTCTCACCTCAGGTCTTTCTTCATCAAGCAAAAGTTGACTTAATTTTGGGCTATGTAATGTGTCTCTGAAATTAGACGGCTTTCCTTATTATTGTAAGCTATGGAAAGTTATGTATGGGAAGGCATGGGACTGGGCGTCAGGCATTGCAAAATGCGCAAATTGAGAATATCATATCACATAATGAATTCATCAAATAGAAATTAATCTGTAACTTTTCCATTTATAGTGCTAGTAGACCTGAAAACCTCAAGCTCAATGCATCTATTTCACCCGTTCGCCACTGCCTTGCTCCGAACTAGAAAGCTATAACTATCGTGAAGTCCCTTCCTTGCTACCAGGACCGGACCGTCTTTGTACGCTGAGGTGCCATGAAAGGGAATGCGATGCTGATGAGGTAAAAGAAATCATGATATTAATCTGGAAGTAATCTGACATACGCCATACCCCGAGAGACCGTAGATTGGTGGGTGTACGCAGCGTGGCTGACTGAGGTGGGACGTGTATAGACAAACAGCGGGTCATATCTGCTGGGGGCAGGTGTAGAAGGCGTGCAGTACTGCTGAAAAGCAGAAAGGTTGGTATGTGATTAGGAGGGTGTCGAAAGCAGTTTTTATTAACGCCTTCGGAGAAATGAGAATTGGTGTTTGGGGGCCATGGATCGATCTTGGTATTTGCTGTTCTAATCAAGGGGATGTATTCATCCTAGAATGAATCAGTAAATTTGCCTTAAATGGGACCGTCAGGCGCAGGTAACTAACCGCAGCATAGGGTCTTCATGAACTTCTGGAAGCCCGTCGGTTGTGGGTCCTGGTTTCTGCTCTGGGGTTGTGGGTTCATGTTTGGTTGGGGCGTCATCCTCTGGGGCAGGTTGTTCGAGCTGTTCTGGAACTGTGCCTGGGTTGAGCCGGTTGGAGTAGCGACGTCTTGGAGCCCCCCCGCCGCTCCGCTGCTGCGTTTTGGGACCAACCCGCCTTGGGCGTTTGGTCGATCGCGCGTTTTGCCCATCCCCGGCTTGATTGGGGACGGTGGCGGGGGTTGCGCGGCGTTTAAACGGGCGGTAGTGAGGCCACCAGGTGTGCTGTTTCCTGCTCGTGTTGTTCCATGTAATTCTCTTTGCGATGCACCTGGGACCGCATTAGGGTGATGTAGCATATTGTGAGATGGGTGCTGCTTCATGGCCTCCCAACCTTTGCCATTGTTGAGCTTCATCCAGTCGTACTCGCCGTCCTCTACTTCGCCTGTGTTCTTCAACGCTTGGGTGAAGAGGTCTCGGAGATAATCGTAGTCAGGGGTATCCTCAAAGCCAAGATTACGAACGTAACTCAGATATTTGTTGAGCTCCTCCGGGAAACCCTCACATAGGTCCTTGATCGCAGTCGTCTGCTTCTTCTCTCCAATCTTCTCGTACTTCTGCTTGTTTGTAGCAGCCTTGAGACCTTGCCATGGTAAGCCTCCTCGGAGAAAATACATGAAAACATGACCTAAAGCCTCGAGATCGTCTCGTCTTGATTGTTCACGTCCCAAATGTGTATTGATACTCATATATCTCGCAGTTCCAGAGAGAGATTTTCGTTCGCGGTAGGGAATGTGTTGTTTTGTCTTCGGGTCTCGGTATTGTTTTGCCATGCCAAAATCCACCACATGTATCACATTAGCTGACTTCGAGCCGGGTCGACCAATGAGGAAGTTATCGGGCTTGATGTCTCGGTAGATGAGGTTCTTCTCGTGAATTGTTTGAACCCTCGACAGCTGCGGTAGTTAGCAACAGGAATTTGTTAAAGGAATATCACTACATACCATCTGCTTCGCTACCATTACAACAGTCTTGTTTGAAAATCTCCGATTGCAGTGGTCGAATAGGTCCTCGAGTGAAGGCCCAAGTAGGTCGATGACCAGAATATTGTGTAGGCCTTCTTGGCCAAAGTAATAAACATTAGGGATTCCAGCTGTCTTCGCGTCAGTTCTGAGCTTTCTATCGACAGATTTGGCATTCTTACGGCAACCAACAAGGATTTTATATGTTCGGTACTCATCTCGCAACTGAGGTGCATCGCTCTTTCGGGGCTCCTAAAGGAAGAAGAGCTGTAAGCATAGGATCGTAATGTCACCCGCCTATGCCACTGCACATAGAGCGGTACCGGCATGGTCTTGACCGAGTTGGGGATAAGACATACGAATTTGATAGCAACTTGTTGATTGTTCAACAGGTTCGTCCCCTCGAATATTACACCGAATGATCCCTCGCCGATTTTCTTGCCCACCCGGTAGTGGACACCGACAACATTCGAAGATGAGGAGGCCATCGGAAGGATGGATAGGGAAAGGGGAAGCTCGTCGTAGAGCTCGACGGCAGATTGAGGATCAACGTTGTTGAACAGAGTTATGAAGCCCAACCGAAGAACGCGAGACTTGAGTAGGGTTGGCACGCGACGACTGTGGCAAGGGAACGTTCAGCGTGACTCGTCTCCCCCAAAAGAAAAGAACCCCGACGATGATGGTATCCTCCTGCAACGTCAACGACGACCAGAAGTTGTTGTCGTGGATGTAGATAAAAGGTTTGCTGGCGAGGTGAGGTTGTTGGATTGGGGCTGGCTGGATGGCTGGCTGTCCCGAATTGGATTGGTGGTGCTCGGCGGTGAACGACGTGTGGGTGTGGGTATGGGTTCAGGCGCAGGAAGGAAAGAAAGCATACAATTGGAGGGAAGGACAAGTTCTGGTGGAAACTGCTTGTGGGTGAATCAGTGGCCCGTGGCAGCGCACAGATATCTAAGATAGACCTGTGCGGATCTCGAGAGCAACAATAACAGGAGGCAGAACAGAGCAGAGCAGAGCACGGCACAGAAGTGTACGCACTGTACGGACCGGTAGCAGTAAAACGAAATTACTGAAGCAAAAGCTAGGCTGGGTAGGGAAAAGGGAGGAGCGACAAATGATCCCGGTTATGTCTGCCTTGCTGCCTTACGAAGACCTGCCCTGACCTGACTAGGGGAACGAACAAAGTTTACTAACAAATAAACAACACGAGGGAGGGTCAATTCTAAAACAACAGACAGCGAGGACGTGGACATCTACACATATTAATACAAGTTTCGTCTCGAAGGCACCAGAGGATACCGGTATGTTGCCCTGTCGCCCTGTTGTCCTGCGCTGTATTCCGAAAAGTCACGCTGTTTCCCTCCATCCAGGGGCTGCCGCTGCCTACCCAGGGCGCAAAAGCAAGACAGAAATAGCTGGCTTGGACAAAGCTTGGCAAGATTAAATGCAATTGATAGGCGGGCGGCTGTTACATCTCGAACTTCTCCACACTGTCGGCAGAAAAGCAAGCAAGCGCTGTGTCCGTCTTTCATCGTTGCCGGTAAACAACGGCCGGCTTTTGCTTTCCTTTTTCTCAACCGTACCCACTACCTACTATCTACGTGGTGATTCTCCGTACACCAAAAGTCGAGAAGCACATCTCGAGCTCGTAAAGCTCCCTTGACCGGTTATCCTAGTCTTCTACTAGATAAGCTTTCGGAAATGGAAGCCGAATCTATCATAGATTCATCCCCCCATCCTTCACCCCTGGACCGCGTCTACTGTACCAGTAGTTTCTCCGGCTTCATCTCATATCTAATTTCAGAGGAAGGCCGGCATGTGATCTGTTCATACTCTAACCAAGTTTTTTACCTCAGTAAAAGGTGTCGACTGCTAATTTACATACAATAATACGCTTCACACCAAACCCATCCTCCCTCCCAATTCGCGTCGCTGAGATTCAAAAGACTTTTGGGATTCATAAATGTACAATCAATCCACCCGTGTCATAACCAGAACTTTGCATGGCTATCAAAGCTCAATCAATATTGTTTGATAGAGCTTCGGAAGGCTCCCACACCCCCACTAGCCCTCGCCTTTGGTTTATACGGGTGCTTTGTCCGGAATACACCATCGCTTTTGCCCTTTTCGTTGCGTGCAATGGTCTCCTCGAGTTCCTCCAAATCATATTTCGCATCGTTCATATGCTTCCCATCCTCCGTCTCCCCCACAATTTCTCTAGCGTAGTCCTGTTTTGCTTGTTCTAGAATACTCGAGTACCAATTAACCAATCGATGTTTCTCAATGTGCTCATGAAATTGATCATCTTCGATCTGGTAATCCCTACAGACCTGATCCCTCCTGCTTTCGTCCGCACCAGAGAAACGAGAATCTAGGTCGTCGGTACCAGCATGCTCAATCTTCAATGGGTCGATTGGCAACACAGAAGAATTGCTCTCGAATAGACCTATCATAGTTAGCACCGGGGAACCAATATTCAGTAATCTTTGGCTTACGATTTTTCAGACAGGCTCTGAATGTCCGGTACAGGTTCGTACTTCTCGACTGTTCAGAAACCTGATTGTCGTCCTTCATATCTGTGTTATTGATCACAGACCACGGATCCCTCAACATACATCTTCGCCAGATCACACGTTGCGTCAAGATCCGCTCTTTTTCGTCCGTGATTCCATGTCGAGTTGCTTGCAATGCCAGATAGAACTGCTGGTCGGTAAATGAATTCTGATCCGCTGAACTATCGTCGCCCATCAGGGTAAGTAGGTCCACTAAAGAGAGAGCATCCATGGCTGTGTGCCTGATGAGATTAGCCATTTGTTGTTCCAAGGTTTTGGAAAAGGTCGGCTGGTGCTTCAAATCTCTGAAGCGATGTGCTTCGAGCGCTAGCTGAAGTTCCGCATTCTCGTCAATTGCGGCACCAATCGAAGGGAGAATGTAGTCGTAGACCGTGTCTTGAATCCTGATCAGGCCAAGTTGGTCCTGGGTTTTAGCAAGTTCAGTCCTGCGTCCATCTGGGATCAATATGCCGTTCTCCTGACTGTAACTTCTACCAGCTAATCGAGCCAGCTTCCCGATACTCAACTCGATCTTCTTGCTCCAAACGTTCTGCTCTCGCGTTAGGCCGACGTCGAGAAGTGCTTTTGCGGCTTGGTCAAAATCGTTCTCACGATCGATTTCGTGTATCCACGCCACTTTCGCATACTCGGGTTTTGCGCGTAAGAACGAAGTCAAGTATTCCTGTTGTTCTTTAAAATGATCGAGAAGGCTATCCATGGAACCGATGTCTATCTGTAATTCGTAGAAAGCTGCAGCCCATCTTTTTCCAAACTTGTCGAAATAGTGTGCAATCTTTTTTCTGACCTCCTTGGCATTTGGCTTCGTTTTATTTAATTCGACAAAAGTTACCCGTGCAAGGGTTTTGAGGATCTCAAACTTTTCCGCCAACGCCAGAGCCTCATCGGACCATGCCATGTCATCCTGCAGAGAAGTGATTTGCCTATCCTGGGCTTCTTCCTGTGTTAGGCGGAGCTGTTCCGCCTCGATCTGGAATTGCGGAGAATCTTGGGCGCGAGATAGACAATAACGAACTCGCTCATTGCTTGACCGGATTCCCATGTCGACGAGGGTTGGGTATTCATTTCTCAACTTGTTGACCACGGCAACGATGGGTTGACCTTGCTTCTGGGGCTTATTCCAATACTCCTTCACGAGCTCCTGCGCAAGCTGTAATTGCCTCCTGACAGCATCCTCAATGAGATTTGTAGAGGTCCAAAATTCAGGAAGTCCTTCGTAATCAGCGACGAGCACTCCATGTTCCAGAGGCTCGTCCTGAAGACCATACAGCTTGGCATTAGCTGTTCGAAACGCGAAAGCAGTCTGTAATACTCCCATGACAACGTCATTTGCGTCGCTAAGCATTTCCACGACAAAGGCATGGTCCTTGTGGCCATCCTGATATGTATGCTTGATTACTTGCCACGCCCAAGGAACCGCAATCTGAAATGTCGAGACATCGCAAGTGAACCACTTTCGGACACGATCTAGCTCGCCCTCTTCCGTCACAGGCTCAGTCTTGTAGTCCTCGTGAATGCTCTCCACGATATCTGTGATCAAACTACGCTTTTCGCCTTTCGGCTTCGCAGAGACACGAGCATCATGTAGATTCCAAACAGTCGTAGCTGCTGCCATTTTCTCGGCATCACAAAGTAGTTTCCATCGTGTAGCTCGATCTAACTCAACACCACTGGATTTCAAATACTGCGCGAGGTCATGCAGAGCCACTGACCGTTGTTTGAGGCTGTCTGCAAAGTTTGGTTGCACAGAAAGGATATGTGGATTCCGAGAACATAATATGTCCTTGCTTAAAATCAATGCCGCTTCACTGAGTTCGCTAGCAAGGAACGGTAGCTCCGGCCGTACAGAAAAACTGATTGGGTTTTCCTTTACACTTCCAAAGTAAACGGCCTGTTCAAGTTTGCTCTTGGCAGTCACTTGCTGAGTGTAGGCAGAAGTGCGGTTAGAGTAATCGGGTGCTGCTACTCGCACTATGCCTCCACCTTTACCTCGAACGAGCAGTACTGCCGCAGGAAATCTAGGTTTGTGGCCCTGTGGTTTGAAGATTCCCATTGCATGTGGAGATAGCTCCTGAGGTTCTTCCATTCCAGATCCGACGACTTCAATACCCGCGTCGTCCCGGAAAAACACAACGTCCTCAAACGTTTGGGGTGACATATGGCTTTCTGTCATAAGTTGTGAATGAGGGGAGCCGTATTGTGCTTCTTCCAATTGTGCTTCCATTGAGATGACAGCTACGGCTCGGTCGAAGACGATATAGGCGAAATGAGCAGGATTTGGTAGGTAAAGTCGTGTCTTAGAGATCGCATCTTGGTTTACAGGAATCGTATAGGATTTGATGGGACGGATCTTATTGATTGTGAGTCCACTTTGCAGCAGTGCTACACTAACAAGGAAATAATGGGAGACATCTCGATCAGTAAGGGACGTTAAGAGTAATAGCGGAATACCATCACTTGCTTGAGAATATGACGGTTGTGTCGGCAGCGTCGTAAATGCGAAGTCGAGAAGCTCAAAAGTTTCGATGAGGAGGTCGCTGAATGTAGGATACGCCTGCTTTATTGTCTGAACGATCGTCTCCCGCCCATCGGCTTCCGCATTGAGAGAACTATGTCCACCTCGTTGTATGTCCCAGGATTGAATCTTGCCTTTTGCAGTTGCCACCACCACTTGTCGTTCGCCCACTTTCCGGGGTAGATCTGCTCTTACAGCTGCAATGTCCCCGCGATATGCAGAGGTTGATAAAACATTCCTCAAGCTACCGAAAATGCCCCCACCAGTGGATCCAGAGCTTCCACGAAGAAATTGCACAGAGATTGTAGGTCGACCTTGGCCGTCTCTAACGTTCATATATGCAATTCTACCAGTGCTGAAAGCTAAAACAAAGCCAGCGGTCTCCGCATTGAGAATCTGGATGACTGTTTCTCCCGAATGCATTCCTGGGATAGACAACTCGATATTATTTTGTCGCAACCTGAGACCTATCGTAGCTGCGCTATCGACTGATTCCCAGTATGTAATCTTGCCGCTTGTGGGAATGACCACGACGAGTCCAGGTTCTGAGGAGGATGTAGAGGGCGACACCAGACAGCCAAGAGGGAGGGGGTCGGAAGCGTGTTTTGAAGGATGCGGTATATCGAAGACATAGGGAGGAAATTCGGTCGGAGGTTTAGAGTAAGGCCAAACGGTGGCATGAGTATGGGAGAGAATGAGTGCATAACCGCTGTCAGAGTGAATTGATCCATGCTCCCGACCTGGGGAAGTGTATGTTAGATTTGGAAGCTCAAACAGATGGAACTTACTAACTCGCTGTATTTGCAAGAAGAAGTTTCTCGGGCCCAGAAATAATCCTGCTGACAGTGTAGGTATCGTTCGCCGTCTATGGGTAGAATAAAGATCAGCTATGGATGCTAACTCTAGGGTGGGACCAAGTATTCAACTTACCAGAACTGTACTCCCATCCCCTTTGTTACTACGGTCACCCGTCCTAGGTTTCTTCCCTCTCACGGCGATTTGCTTTTGCGGACCGGAGATCTCCCTACTCTCTTGCTTCACAAGTGCTGCTACTGGCTTGGAGGTCTTCGTCTCCGTCATTTCAAGTGGGCGACCATCAGGCGGTACAAATGTCTCCTTATTAAGAGTACTCCTCTGTCTCTTAGTCGGAGGTTGAGATATGGAGCCCTCGTTCGAGAGAGGTCGCTGTCTTCTTCTGCTGGTCCGAATGGAGGCCGCAGGTGTATTTGTTGTCGCGGACGAGAACATCGTGACGGTCGCTCGAACGGGATAAATAGGGCGATGTTGTTCTAGAGAAGAGAGCGTGCTAGCTGTCTCGAAATCGCATGATCTAGACGTTGATGCGATGTTGAGACCTGGGAGGTCGTCGAGGCTGCAACTATTTCAAGGTTGTTTACAAGTACTCACACGCAAGTTGACCCGGGGAGGCAGAATTTACGCGCTAAAATTGCACTGGGCGGTCAGTGGCACACCTACGTACAAGTACAGCACACGAAGTAAATATTCTACAATACATCGTCACGACTCGCACACTCTGGATAAATTCTCTTAGGATCTGGATAGTACGAAATCGACGTCTGGATCTTCACCTGGTAGAGTCTTGGGTCCTCGTTCTGGCTATCACTAAGGAACTTATCCGTAGGTAGTCTCGTTAGATAGTTTTAGGGTACCTTTCCTAGGAATTATACAATTCACTGCTGTCAGCGTTCTTCCTTTCTTGAGCTACTCGTACCTCTCTACATCCATACACATTATATACACATTATCTGGTCCACCACGACTGACTGCATTATCGAAAGGGTCAAATTTTATCTGACAGGGATACGGTCAAGTGACACAACACCTAAATAAAGTCTTGGTCAATTTCGGAGCTAGATCTGTGACGTCTACATTCTGGTCCTCATATTGAATCCTCAACGATGAATATATCCAAATGTCGGCGAAAATAGCATCCCCAACCACTGCCCTCGCCATCACCAATCCCTTGGTCTTATATCGTAGTCTCCTTCAAAAAAAGATCATAGATCCAGATGCCTCTCAGTATCGACTTGCGCTGCAACTTCAGAATCTCTACTATTCTCTGAAAGACTATACTCCCAATACTGAATATGGAAATCGTCTGAAAGCCCTTAGTCGAGTTGTCGACAAATTTCCAACAGGGGACAATGACCGATCCGTAGCGGTTCCTGGTCATCCATTAAGACGAAATCCATTATTTTTGCACCTATTCTCTCGAAATGAGCGCCGCGATACACTCGCTTTGACGCGAGTGCTCACCAATCATGAGGAGGCTGTGAACATCGACTCCCCGAGGGGTCTGCTACTTCACGGAGAAGTGGGTACAGGCAAAAGCATGCTGGTCGACTTGCTTGCCGAATGTCTACCGAATAGCAAGAAAAGGAGGTGGCATTTCAATACTTTCATGTTGGAAACTCTAGCGCGTCTAGAGCAACGTCGTTTGGAAAGTGCAAATTTGGACTCGGAGCATTCTCTATTATGGTTGGCGAAAGACATGATAGAAAAGTCTCCAATTCTCTTTTTGGATGAGTTTCAGTTGCCGGATCGAGCTGCAAGTAAGATTATAAGCAATCTCTTTACCGCATTCTTCCAGCTGGGTGGTGTTCTTATTGCATCATCGAATCGAATGCCCGATGAGCTCTCTAAAGCTAGCGGTATGGATTTCACAGCGCAGACCAAAGGAGGGCTTGTGAGCAATATATTGGGCTTGAGTGGTGGAAGACAGCCAAGCATGTTTCCAGCAAATAACGAGTACGCTGCGTTTGTGGAGGTTTTAAAAGCTAGATGCGATATTTGGGACATGAGAGCAGAAAAGGATTGGCGACGGAGAGAAGTAGAAGATGCTGAAACTTCAGATATCACCGAGGCGATGCGGGAGGAGTTTATTGAAGATGTTTCTGGAAAGAGAGGGGCTTCACCTGGAATCTTTGATCTTCAAAGAGACTCGTCGAAAAACGAGTCAACGGCGGAAAAGGCCACAAAGCCCATGGAATATATTCTGCTCTCAGACACTAAAGAAACGTGGGACGAAACAGTAAGATCAGCATTGCCGTTGGATATGCAAGATACGATTCCTGAATGGCAGTCTACAACCATCTTAGTCTATGGTCGAAAGGTGCCAGTACCACATCACTGTGCGGGAGTTACATACTGGACATTCGCAGAACTCTGTGCCAGTACCTTAGGACCAGCAGACTACATCACCTTGGCGTCAACATTTCACACCTTGATTCTGGACAAAGTGCCAGTTCTTCATCTCTCACAAAAGAACGAAGCAAGGCGAATGATCACACTTTTAGACGCTCTGTACGAAGCACGCTGCAAGCTTATTATCCACGCAGAAGCGGGACCCGATGATCTATTCTTCCCCGAAACCACCGCAGTGCAAGATGGAAAGAGCCAGCAAGATGAGAATGACGGCGGTGATGCCGTCTACCCCGAAACACTGTCTGAAGTCTACCAAGACCAAACCTCCCCCTTCAGGCCAAATATCTCAGCGTACACCGAAGAACCTAAAGCAGGCTACGACCCGGATGAAGACTCGGATTTTGGCCCTCTGCCTGGTAAAGGGAATGAGATTGGACGACAAATTGACTTTGGAATGACTAGTTCTTTCACTGGAGAAGATGAACGGTTTGCGTATAAACGGGCAAGATCACGGCTGTGGGAAATGTGCGGTGCGAGATGGCACGCGAGGTCTGAGCCGAACTGGTGGAATCCTTTGCCACTGGAAGTGAGAAGATGGGAACGTTCTTCTCAAGCAGATGTGACTATCCCTGAGGTATTGTCTGTAGGCAGTGATGTGAAGATCGGGGATTCGATTGAACTTGATAAGCCCGCGGGATTGCAGGGAAAGGAATTAGAGGAGATGGCAAGCAGACCGAATGGACCTTTTCGTGAAAAGCGGGATCCACCAACCAAGATTGGATGGACTCATGCTTGGGGAATGATGAAATGGGGAAAGAAGGCTGGGCCTTGGGGTCAAGGACCGGAAGGGTTAGACTCTAGAACAAAGAAGTGATGATAGAACTGGAGTCTAGATTTCGACAAGTCCACCTCGCGTTCAGGTCACACGCGTTAGATAGATGGATCCATAGAATCAGCAGTCAATTATCGCTTCTGTATGCAATTCGCATATACGCCTCAAACACCTCTCAATGCACAAGCCCAACCCATCTTACCATCTCCTCATAACCCTCACAAATTTCCAAACCCCGGCATCCATTCCTCCCCAATCCTCCTCATCTCCTCCGCAAACCTCCTACTCATAATCTTCTTCCCGCCCCTCCCCGTCGGCGGACTATGCTCATCCGGATCATAAAACGGGTTCTGCAATAACCTCACATAACTAGCTTGCATAGCCCTGAAAACCTATCACCCCAAAAACATCAATCAATTAGCCCTTTCCCCTTCCATCCCTCTCACACACCAAAAGCACCACCCCAGGCAATGGAAATAAACAAG